CCCCTACGGAAGAGGATCAAGACCCACCGCCGTCTTCGCCATCACAAAAAACACTTCACCACCTCACCCAGATAAAAACACACACAAGACTTTTCTCCGTCCGTTCCACTACAAATCATCATCCGCATACGCGGGGTCGTGTGTGAAAGGTTGGGACCCTGGTGCGATATATCTCATAGGATTCGGAGTAGGGGGCAGGCAGGCAGGCACCACCATCGCCGCCCCAAGCGAATGCTGCGCCGCAAGACTCCGAAGAATATAGACTGCTGCGACATCGCTCTGCCCGCTGGGAAAAGGCGCGCCGGCTATGTATCCACCCCCCCAAGCGTCCGGGCCGCAGCAGTAGCCGCAGCCCCTTTCGGCAGCAGCCTGATCCCCTATCCCGTGCGCTACGCCCTAGGCCCTGCGATTATGTACCCTGCTTGCTCTTACAACCGCGCCTGTGATTACGGACCGCCCCCCCAAATCTCTCTTTTAATCTCCTCGGCGGACCCCTCCCCCTCCGCCTGGCACCCGCCCCTCCCACAACGAGGTACTCATTAGAAGACCTCACCCTGTACCTCTCGCGTGCTGAAACTAGAGGAATTTCACGCTGCTCGCATCATCCCCGTGCAAACCTAACCCTTGCAAAAAAAAAAAAAGAACAAATATCGTAGCTCTTGGCGAGCCCACCCAGTCCTGTCTGCGAATCTATAGACAGGGACACAGGGGTATGCAGGGATACTTGGAGATTGCCGGCGGGTGGGGCGACAAGAAAGAAAACAAATAACTCTACCCGCGGGCAGGGGCTCCGGCAGGAGGAATACCAGCCGCGATTCTAGCTTTGCGCAGCCATACACCTTCACATCCAATGCTTCCTACCAAACAGGCGCGTACTACATAGGAAACGGTAAGAAGCAGATGGATCCAGCGAGGGAGCGACAACCCAAGCCGTCGCGGCCCGTACAGCAGTAGCGCGAAAACCTCTAGCAGCGGAACGCGGGGGGCAGCTCGCCCCGTCCAATTTGTTCCCCTGATCGCGCACGCAGAAAAGCAGGCCCCCATACCCCCAACCCCTTTTGCCATTCGGGCCCCTTTTGCCATTCGGGCCTTTGAGGCTAAAATGTGCAGGACCGGCATACGGTGACAAGAGCTTCGAGTACGGTCGGAGGAGCAGCCGACGACAAGTGTGATTGGCGAACCACAACTCCAAAGACACAAGCACCCAAAACCGCTGTTGTTCCGCTTGAAATTCCCGTCACATCCAAATACCGCACGCACCTCCGCTAACGAGGCAAAACAGGTAGGCGACCGGTACCAAAACCAGCCGC